AGGGTTTCCATCATCCGGAGATAGGGAAACAGAGAGGATCTGCTTCAGGATGTGGGGAAGAGAAGAATACACAGCAGTGCCCACAACAGCACTACTCCCAAGAGCCAAAGCAGGAAAGAGCCTGGATGTCGACTCACAAAGGAAGGGACTGGTGAAGCATGGCCCACCCAATGATGGTTGCTGCTCAGACAGGAGAAAAGAAGGCCTGCTCCTATGACAGCACATGCCTGTTAACACGTGCCACTGCATGAAATTAAGCTGACACCACAGGGCACATCCTGGGGCCTGACAGGAAGCGTTTACAACAAGGGATGCAGCAAAGCCAGCACTTAATAGTGGTGACTAGGGGCTAGGGTGGGGGAGGAGAGTACGGAGTTTCTGTTGGGGTGATGGCAAACAACTGGAAATAGACAGTGGCCCAAGTTAATATGGCTTCAGAGCCCCCTGAATTTGTATATTAAAAACAACAACAAACTCACTGCCATCAAATAAACTCTGACTCATAGCAATCCTATATAACAAGGTAGAACTGCCCCTGTGGGCTTCTGAGACTAACTCTTTCTGGGAGTAGAAAGTCTCATCTTTCTCCTGTTTAGTGACTGGTTGTTTCAAACTGCTGACCGTGCAGCAGCCCAATTTGTAACCACTAAGCCACCATGGCTCCCTTTGAATGTATACGAATGGATCTGTATGCATTCATTTTTTTAAAATCATTTTATTGGGGGCTCGTACAACTCATCACAATCCATCCATTATGTCAAGCACACTTGCACATTTGTTGCCATTATCATTCTCAAAACATTTACTTTCTACTTGAGCCCTTGGCATCAGCTCCTTCTTTCTCTCCCCTTGCTCCCCCACTCTTCCTCCCTCATGAACCCTTGATAATTTAGAATTTTTTTCATGTCTTACACTGTCCAACTGTCCAATGTCTCCCTTCACCTACTTTTCTGTTGTCTGTCCCCTCAGGGAGGGGGTTATATGTAGATTATTGTGATTGGTTCCCTCTTTCTCCCCTACCTTCCCCTTCCCCTCCTGGTATCGCTACTCTCATTATTGATCCTGAGGGGTTTATCTGTTCTGAATTCCCTGAGTTTCCAACTCTTACCTGTACCACCGTACATCCTCTGGTCTAGCTGGATTTATAAGTTAGAATTAGGATCATGATAGTGGGGGCGAGGAAGCCTTAGAGAACTAGAGGCAAGTCGTATGTTTCATCAGTGCTATACTGCACCCTGACTGGCTCGTCTCCTCCCTGTGACCCTTCAGTAAGGGGATGTCCACTTGCCTACAAATGGGCTTTGGGCCTCCACTCCGCACTCCCCCTCATTCACAATGATGTGATTTTTTAAAAACAAATCTTTCAGGTGCACATACCCAGGATGAAGTGCCGTGTGTGGGGCTACCCTGAGAGGCCCTCCTCCTGCAGAAGCACACTGCAGGGGGCCAGGAGGGCAACGCGAACATGCGAGACCAGTCACCCAGATGCTGAAGCACACCGGCAGGCACTGAGACAGAAAGAAGCCAGAGCAATGGGGCAGAGTAAGGACGAAGACAGGGCCAGCCCAATGGCCAGCAGGAGGTGAAACTTGAGCAGAGACCTCATGCCAAGAGGGGCTAACAAGGAGAGCTCTTTGGCAGAGGGAAGCAGAGAAGAGCCCGAGGGTCAACAGCAGAAAGGCGAGGCCCAGATGGCCAGAAGAGAGAGTGGTATCGGAAGAGGGGGAGCAAAGGAAGAGGCATCACAGAGAGCCGGGGCTGGAATCTGACTTCAGTTGCCACAAGGCTCCCTGTTTATTCCACTGTTAACATACCCAATCACTCCCACATTCTCATACCCTCACTCACATACTCTCTCACTCTCACTCCCACACTCTCACACTCACACTCACTCACTATCACCACAATCACACAGACACACCCACACACACACACTCACTCACTCACTCACACAGACTCACTCATTCACTCTCACACTCCTCCGTGCAGTCAGAGCAGCCTGGTCAACCCCAGCTATCACACAGCGGGAACCGGCCACAGGACAGATGCTATGCAGCTCTCAGATCCTCTCGTGCAAGTCAACCACCTTCACAGAGTCAGGCTCCTAACTGTCTGCCCTACCTTCTGGGAGCCTGGGGAAACTGAGGCCAGGGCAGAGCAAGACACTCCAGCAGGTGTGAGGCCAGGAATGGCGGAATGTGGAGTGCCCACCAGTCCTGTTTCCTCATTCCTCCTTTGTTTCTGAAAGCCAAGTTTCAAAGGTGCTCCCAAGCTGCCCTCATCTGTCAAGTCCCCACAACATCATTACTCTGAGGGCGGCCAGCAGCAGCAGCCTGGCCCCCGGCATTAATTAAAGAGATGCTGATGAGAGCTTGTGGCTTTAGACTCCATCACAAGGGAGGGAGACGTTGGGTGGTTGGGGCAGATGATGACAGTGCATGTGACCAAAAGGGGGCAGGGCAGACACTGTATTTGGAAAGGAGCCGGCTACAGAGGTGGGGGACACAGCCTGTGTGACAAGAGGACAGATGATATCCCCAGCCGGAGCTGAGAGTCAGTGCCAGGGGCAGTTTGAAGCCAACTCAAATTGGACCACAGGTCAGAGAGGATGGTGGAACCTCTGCTTCTATCACTAAAATGTCCTGCTGGCCCAGGGGCTCAAAGGGCATCAGCAGGACTCCTGCAGCTCAGCTTATCCTCTGCTGAGGGCCTTCTTCAGGGGAGCACAGGAGTTGGATAGCGGCCCAAACTTCCTGAGGCTGACAAGACAGAACCCTTTCCAGATTGCCTGCAAGAGCCTTGAGAGCTAGTGGGCGGGACTGAGCCACCAAGGGCGAGCTTTAGACCACCCATCCCCAGCCCACCTCAGCAGTGGAGAAGGATGCTGGCTAGCCCAGAGGAGGCCACAAAAGTGCCAGTGTACGTGGGCAGGTGAGGTGGTCGACTCAGCCGTGTGCCAAGGGCAAACCCAAGGTCTCCTGAAATGTGAAGTTCAGTGGCCCCTGGCAGGAACACCTCCTCTTCAAGCTCTGGTTCTCAGGAAAACACAGCGGAGGAACCTAGGAGAAGCCCATCAGCCAGCAAGGGTTGTACTTGGCTCGCTTCCTCTCCTGTGTCCCCTGCCCCTGCTCCTCCCCCTTGCCTTCTTGGCCAACACCCATACTAGGTGCCCTTCACCAGACGGAGGCAACTAGCTGGGGGTGAGGAGGGGGCCCTCGTTCCCTTGAGTCATGGGTGGCATCCTTGAGAAGTGGCACACATCCTTGAAAGGAGGCCAAGGGCAGCATTTTAAAGAGTTGTCTCCGTCAAGACTGCCTCGTGGTGCCTGGCACATGGAGGTGCTCACTCATATCTGCTAAGTGGACTGTGGGACTTAAATGAGCAACGATGGGGCTTCCAGTGCCCCCGCCTGAGGGCTTTTGCCAAGACCTTCCCCCAAAGGGAGACTCATGGAGCAGGTGGCACTGCAAGAAACACAGGAGCAGGGGACCGCTGCTGTCCGGGGCAGAAGCTGCTTAACCATCTCTGTGCCAGCCCACCACGAAGCGGCTGAAACTCAGTTGTTTCCTGGTTTGACTTCCTTGCTGTGCCCACCACAGCAAGGCTCTGTATGGGTCGAGGACTGATTTCTCGAAAGGTCTAGGGCACCTGCATCAGATTCACATGATCTAGGTGTGCAGATCAAGAGCCCTTCCCAAACCTACTCCTAGAGGCAGTGCCCGGGAAGAGGCTCCACAGGTGGAGGCGGTGGCTGTGGTTGTGGCTGGCTGTAGCAACAAGAACTTTCTAATGCCAAGAGCCAGGGATATGGGAGAAAAGACTTCACCTGGAGCTCCATCACGGATAGAAGTGCAAGTTCCTTCAGCTCTCCTCCCTTTCAAGAGAGAGAAAAGAGCTACTCATGACCTGCTTGTTGGGATAAATGAGAGTGCATTTGATCTTGCTTAGAGAGGCTAAAGGGGCAGACAAATAAAATTCACTCCAAACATGAATGTAAGGAACGACTGACCTACAAAACGCCAGGCACTGCGGAAGCAGCGATGAGAAAATGTGAGTAGGTGAGAAGACCAACATATACATCGCTCAGCTATGACATGAACTCAGGCCATAACAGGGGTCCCTGCATGAAAAGAGCAGGAGCCCAAGGAGGCAGACATGGTGCACGCAGCACACAACCCCAGCCTGGTCAGGGAGACAAAGCTATGTCCTCCCAGTGCAGCAGGGGTGACTCTGAATCCAGGGACCAGCTCTGGAGGGACGCTTTTCTCCCTGTCGACTCTGGGGAGGGTGACTGTCCCTTGGCTTCCTGGTGCTCCCCATGCCAGTGTGTCACCTAGCTTCCTTCCTGCTCTGACTCCTCAGAGACTGACTCGAGACACCCCCTCTAACAAGCCAGCCTTGCTACGGCAACCAAGAAAACCCACAGAGATGGGGGTCAGAGTCCACAGCACCTTCTCTGGCGAGCATAGTTCAATCTGCTGTGTGTTTGTGATTAATGTTCCCAATAGTCGTGCGATAATAACAGCAAATCATTGATTCAGTATTTACTCTTCGGTAAGGACTCTGCTGCTGACACGGGGCCTCGTAAGGAGATGCGGCCATTTGAAAGGTGAGGACAGTGAGGCAGCGTTAGATTAAGAAAGGAAAGCAGGGCTGCGGTTGCAGCCTGCTTGGGCTGAATCCAGCGCTCTGCCGCGCACCATCCGGGCAGATACTCGAAGTCAGACTGCAAGGTCACATGCACTGCCAGGCTCTAGACATGAAATTCCCCAAGAACACAGACTGAGCCGACTCCTGCCAAGAGTCTCTTAAACGGAGTCTTACAATATTACAAACGATTTAGCAAGAATGTGCAGTAGGATTTTCCATCTAATTAGTTTTTTGGAATCTTTCTAATTCCCGCACATATCCACTCACCACATGTTGAGGGGCTAGAAGGATACAACGCTCGGCGCCCTCCGCCAACCACCACCCCCAGCGGGGTTCCGGGTCTCACTCACCCTCAGCTGTCTGGCCTTCTCTTTTCAGCATCTGGACAGCACCCACATACTTCTTCAGCTGGACTTTCAGCACCTCGTTTTCTCTGCAGAGAAAAGAAAGTCTTATTTTAAAATTGGCAGGGCAGACCTGGGGCAGGGAAGCCGGAGGGAAAGGAACCTATGTGCTGTGTGTCTCGTAAACATGACCTCGCCCTCTCCTGCTCCAGAGGGTCAGTGCACTGGCCAGAAGACGCTCGGAGGGCGCATGTGGAATGCCTCCAGGGGCCGCTCTCTCCCCACAGAGCACAGTGCTAAAAACGTCAGCTGTTGCTGCTGTGGTTCTGCTGTCCAGTTGGTTCTGACCCGGGGCAACCCCGCGTGAGGACAGAACTGCCCCAGGAGGTTTTCAAAAACCACCCATCAGGTCTTTTGGAAACACCCACCGGGCCTGTGTTCCGAGACACTTCTGGGTACCGTCAAAGGGCCGGTCTTTTAGCTTGTGGGTGAGGTACCACTGGCGTCAGGTTAGGGTGCTGACATGGTGTGCTTGGGCGGGTCAACGTGCTCTCCTGTGAGGCACCTTGTGACAGTCTCCTTGGGTTCCTGAAGGCTTACAGTTCTCTGAGCCCCATGTCCAGTAGAGTTCAGAACCATGCCAGGTAATCCTTCTGTGGGGGGGCTCGATCCCAACTCCTATCCAAAGATGAGGAAACTGAGGCTGAACGATGAGCAACCACGGACGGAGTCCACAGCCACCACGGTGAGACTGTGGGACAAAGCACCTGTGTCCACATTACCAAATTCACTGCCTAGACAGACACCCAATGGGGGACAGACTCTCGCCATGCTGAGTCTCGACTCGTTCCCAAAGAGCAGACACTGGGATCTCACTGCATCAAGCATGAGGCCATGGGTTCACCGTTTGCTCTGCAATGGACTAAGTACCACCCGGTGTCCAGTACAATAACCCTGAACACTGTACCCCATTGTGTCAGAGGAAACTGGACACACAGAGGTTAAGATCTCTGGCCAGGGCACCCAGCAGAAATCCAACCTCTGTTCTCTCTGCCCCCCAAGCCCACATGAGTCTTCTCCAGCTCCTTGGGGATTTCGACTTGGTTTCTTACTAGCTACAGCCAGAAAGAAGTGACTCCGCCCAAGTTCCTGCTTCAGCCGCTCAATGTCTTGAGCCCAAATCCTCGTGAACATGATTAAAAATAAACTCTACTATTCACTTAAGATTTTAACTCACAGTGACCCTACAGAACCAAATAAAATCACTCTTAGGCACTCCAAGACTGAAAAGCTTTTATGAGAATAGCTAACCTCACTTTTCCTCCCAGGAGCAGCTGGTGGGTGGGACTGATACTTAAACCACCACACCACTAGGGTTCCTTTTGAAAATGCTAGAATGGCTTTCTCTTTCTTCACAATAAAACGAGTATAAATGGTCCCTGAAAATTTTCTAAGAGGAATGCAGAATTAAGCAGAAACCCCAAGCCCTGAAATCCAGTGAGTTCTGATTCTTATCCCATCCATACTTTATTCTAAGCATAGGTCAACACAGTCTCGGTTAACTACAGATGCACAGCCCTGCCAAGCTGATACCAAGAGAGACCACACTGAGAATGGCTCTGGTGTTTGGTGGCCTCACTCAACAGTTCACTGCAGCCAGCCCATCTGGTTGCCAGGCCTCAGGATGGTGATGCTGCCGGGTCTCGAGACCGAGAAACGGGGACTGCTCATCACTGGCTCTGTCTGTCTATCTGCAGGGCATCAAATACCTCCAGGCCCACAAAGATGGCAACGTGCTTTGCGTATTCCTCTGCAGCACTAGGCTTTAGCAGGAAAACAAAATCATCTGGATACAAATTGCGCTCTGCTCTGGAGCACTAGCAAAAGCAAACCACAGAGGAGTCCCTTAATTGCCCCTTCTTCTGGACAGCCTGCCACGGATGTCTCCATCGGCACCTGTTTTCTCTGCCAGTGGTGTGCGTAGCAAGTGTTTGAAACAGAGCTACTAATGAGCCTTGTGAAGGGAGACTCTTTCAGATGCCTGTGTGCTATGTAGCTGGTTTTCTCTAGATTTCTCCCACCAGAATCTCCTTGCCCATTCCAGTCTAGTCCCAGGCTCCACATTTGAATTCAGGTCACCTGTTATCTGAAAATACAAGGCGGGGAGCAATTTGTATGCTTCCATGTGGCATAGCTTCAACAATGTTTCATGGAAGCAAGTCTTCAGAGAGGAAAGCAGACAGGTCCCACTAGGGAGAGTGATGGGTACGTGGTACCCATGTCTGGCTGCCAGGACACAGCCCATGGTTCCCACCAGTCAGGTGGGTTCCTCGTCTTTGTCCCCTCAAACTCTGTTGCCAGAGTGGAAATGTCTCAGGCAGCCACATTTCTTAGGGCTGCAATCAACCTTCCAATAGAGCATGAAGGTGCCGACTCCGAAATCAGACCTGAGAGATGCAAAAAAGCAGGGGACTTTTAATAGGAACCCAAGGCCCATCCAAAAGATGAGATCTGTGGGAATGAATCAAACTACCCTCAGACAGGCACCTTCGGGAGTCATCCTGCCCACTCTGAGCCTATGAATGCACTTGTTGGCCCTTGGCAAGGAATCAACACTTTCGGGTCACAAAAACCCATGGATGTCACGTCAATTCCATCGCACAGTGGCCCTCCTGGACAGCGCAGACTGCTCCAGGTTCTAGAAACAGATGCAAACTGCCACCTCGTCCTCTTGAGGAGCCTCTGGCGGGTTCAAAGCACTCACCTTTAGTTAGCGGTCAATGCACCGTCAGAGCTTCTTTCCAAGTCACCAAACCCACTGCCATGAGTCAACTAATCCTTGGGGTCTCTGCCTCCTCTCGCTCCCATAGAGCTGCTAGTCGTTTTGAACCAGCGGCTCTGCAGTTAGGAGCCCAGCCCTTAACTCACTGCACCACCAGGGCTACTCGTTCAAGTCACCAAATGAATATCAAAGCCACTGCCATCAGGTTGATTCCCCCACACAGCAACCTGAGCTGGGACGCCCTACAGGAGCAGACAGCCTCATGTTTGTCCTACACAGTGGCTGGTGCTTTGAAAGGCCATCACCTACCTGCCTAAACAAACGCATCCATTAAGTCAATTCCAACTCCCCACAGTCCCATGCAAGGTTTCCAAGACTATAAATATTCATAAGAGCAGACAGACAAATTCATGTTTCTCCTGAGGACCAATTGGTGGGTTTGAACCACTAACCTTGCAGTTAGCAGCCCATCCCACTGTGCCATCCGAGCTAGATACCTTCTGAATGAAACTCAAACATTGGGTGACTGGCTCACTGACTGCTCCAAAGAGGGACCTGCTCCTGGCCCCAAGACAAGATTATGTCCCCTCATCACCTTCACTATTACCTTGAAGTAATGACCGATTCACAGAGCTGGAGAGAGTCTGTCTACCTGCATGCGGTTTCCCCAATGGTCACATCTGACAATGGCAAGACCAGAGAATGGTATGGGTACCACGTGCTTCTCCATCTCAGGTGTTAAGTAAGTCCTTTACTCTAACCCTTTGCCATAGTGTGCTTCTGAAGATGGGTTAGGCATCCTGAGCAGGCCGTCAGCAGTAAACCAAGTGTAAGCCATGCGGGACGGGGCTGTGGCCAAGTGGCGCATTCTCACCCTACCCAGTTAATGGGTTTTGAAACTTAACATGTTACTGTTGTGTATGTGTTCTGCTGTGATCTTCAGGATGGGCAGTTCAAAACTACCAGCCGCTGAGGGAGAGAGATGGGACTTTCTACTCCCTTTAATAGTTATAGTCTCAGAAACCTACAGGGACAGTTCTACGCTGTCCTATAGGCTCACTACGAGTCAGTGTTGACTCGTGGTAGTGAGTTCTTTTTGTCCCCTCCATTTGGTTACTGTTGTTGCTGTCTGGGGCTGGTCACTCATTCTGAACCACAGTGACCCCATGGACAAGAGGGGGAAATGCCGCCCCACCTGTTGCTAGCCTCACGACTGTCCTGTTGTAGCGCATGGTTGCAGCCACTATGGCCACTCATCTCAAGGGTCTTCCTCGTTCTCTCGACCCTCTCCTTCCCCAAGCAAGCTGTCCTTTTTCCAGAGACTGGTCTCTCCTGATAACCTGTCCTATGAACTCTTCTAAGGAGCATGTTACAAGCCCAAGAAAGTAACTGTGCATGGACTGCTGAGAGCTGGGCATGTGAAGGGCTCGCTCGTTCCCTGAAATCCTTCCATTCTAGCTACAGAGTGAGAAGCAGCCCAGTGCGAGACCGCAGACAGGTACAGGCATACCTTGTTACCGAGATGCTTATATAAACCCACCAATGGAGTCCTTTCAGATTTACCATGGCCCTGTAGAACAGAGCAGAACTTCCCCATAGGGTTTCCAAGGCTGTAAATTTTAAGAGAAGCAGGCAGCTGGTGAGTTCGAACCGTCAACCTTCAGTTAACAGCCAAGCATTGGACCACTGCACCACTAGAGCTCTTTCTGAGGTCTATCTATTCAACACAAGACACTTTCCCGTCTATCACAC